TGAAGCACTGTTGAGAAACAGAGGACGGAACTTGAAGAGAGCACCGTACCTGATGGTTCAAGTGGAAATCTGTTGGAGGGGACTGATTCCATGGACTGTACTGGATTAATCTTCAAAATTAGACGAATCATTTGTGAATGGTTTTGGCTTATTGTAAAGCTTTTCAATTCAAAGGTTTCTGGTTTTCAATCTGGAGGAACCAAGACTAAGCTATTGTTGCACAAGTAGGGATATCTTGCCTCTTGGATACTGGATCAACCAGATTCAACATTGTGACAATGCCTGTGATCGTACTAGAGGCCAGTGACTTCACCAGTCCCCTTTTCTTGGTACGGACATGGGAGGTCTTATCCGGATGCATCACCTTCAGCCTTGTGGCCTCCCTTGAACCTCCTAAGGCTCTGTCCGACCTCCACTCCACATTCAGGATCTTCTGCATGTTCATCTGGTGCTTCTTCTTCACCCTGACGCTCCTCATCCACATTCTCAGCATCATCCAGTTTCACAGCCTTATCCCGGTATCCTGGAAGAACCTCACTATGACGACGGCAGTCTTAGGCGCACTCATGGGTCTCAGTGCCTCTGTGGTTTTCGCCTGGATGGTGATGGATCATGGAGGGAGGCTGACGCGCACTGTGGCCGCTGCTGTGGCCTCATGCATCACCTTCCTGGCCTACTCCTCAGAGACTTACGTCCTTCGCACCCAAGCCCATGAACAAAGAGGATACATGGGCAGCAACCCTGGTCTGCTGAAGATACTCCAACTCTGGGGAGGCTGTAACATGATACCCCTGGTTATGGAGGTGGTCCACAGCCAGGGGTCTGCATCGGGACTACCTAGTGAAGTACTAAGTTGGCAGCTGTGGGTTTCCACCGCATTGTACGGAGTCTGTGTTCTCATGTCTCTCGTCACTGTTGTGGTGATATTAGGAGACTTAGCCGGGCGATGTTTTTTACCTTTTGACAAATTCTTGGCTGCTTTCAGTATGATTGGGGTGTTGCTCTACATGGTCGCCACGGTGATTTGTTTTACTAAGATCCTGCAGCTGAAAGAACTCGGAAATAGAGCCCCCACTGGAGTGACAGAACTGATTATCATGGAAACAGTGGTTGCCAGTATTACACTGTTAGCTTACACAGTGGACCTCGCCTTCTCTATTAAACTGTTGTGTGACAGGAGTCATGCATAAAATAACACAGTGAATGTATTGCAATATTCAGATGTACTGTCCTGAAAAGTCAAGAAAAAATCATGTCATTGGCAAGTATGTAAAAGTCAAACTAAGTGGACACTTTTGCTGTAAACTATTGCTGTGTTACCAATGTATATTTCCATATATAAATTGCTAACTTATAAGTCCTGTATAAGTTGTTTATAAAGCAAACTTAAAGACAAAAAAACTAACAAACTAATAATTTAGCATAATTGATCTGACATGTGAACGTAAGAGGCAGCTATGTATCAGGAGGTAGAGCGGGTCAGCCATTGCATGTTGTGTAACGTTGCTCCTGAAGGATGTACATAAGTATGTGTGTGAAAGAGAATTTGACCTTGATAGACCTTTACCTCTGGCTGTAAACATGCCAGTGTATTTACCGGCCAGTCACGGGACATTTATGGTATAATAAACATGTGTGAATTGACGGCATCCTTGGACATAATAACCTGGTGTATTTTGTGGCAGCTGAACAGCAGTCACCACTGATAAGACTTAAAATATTAAACAGTTGACTGAGGAGTGTATGTCATTCAAAACTAAAACGTGACACCAAAATCTTCAGGCTAATAACAGGTAATGCTCATGTTAAAGCTCACAAATCAAGCTAGTGTGAATTTAAAGAGGCTCAATGTGAACAGTTGCAATTTACTAACGTGGCAACACTCAATAACGGTATACGTCTACTTAAATCACAGGACTGGGTTTGTGTAAAATATACCAATTGTTTACCTACAGTACAATATATTGCTCTTGTTTTTATATAATATATATATATATATATATATTATTTTTTATTGTGAGGGACTTCAATCAACATTATATGGATTTGCTAATTGACTAAACACGTAGCATAATAAATAGAAAATATATGTTCCCGTGCTACAGTAGTTTCTGTTTAATGTTTATGTAATTGGCCATGCTATTCACTATTGTAGAATATAATTTTCAAAAATGTACATAGAACATTATGGGAAATGAACCGGCTTAATAATATGAACAAGACTACTACTCCTACTAATACTACTAGAATTACTACTACTATTACAACTAATACATACAAATAAAATAATGAAATGATATGATAAAAATCCCACAATAACAACAGTACAGAAAAATATAGATTGACTACATTATAATAATACTAATGTTTGTTTAACACAATACATTGAATGTATGAAATCAAGTAATTTCAATATGTTTGAAGGAATTGCGATCAATTATGAAGTCCTGTTAATGTGCTAACATTGCCTTACTGTATCATCGTGCTTGTTTCTTTGCATTGATAAGCCACTGGGCAACACTGAAATTAATAATGTATTCACATTTCACTCTGTTTACATTCTGACATCTGCCTCATCTACTCAAGGCATTTAAAGAAGCTCTGCCGAGAAATGGATTGGCAACCCAAACCGCCAGCCAGCCATGTTATCCCTCGGCTCGGGCTTGACTACTCTGGTCTGATAAACTGCTGCGTTTTTTTCTTTAAGGAACTGAGTGCAGTCAGTTGTCAACAGGCTGAGCGAGAAAACGAGCCGTAGATACTACATGGTACGTGGAACTGATAATACAAACGTTACTGTTCGTTACCGTGTGGAGAACAACCAAACGACTCGTCTCGGAAGTTCACATTTGTATCAGTATTTCCGTATAAAAATGAAGCCCCCCGGACACGGTAAGCTATCTTTCTCATTTTAAAAAAAACATTTAGCGAGTTTAGTGAGATGACTTCGACTAGCAGTGACTTTAAAACACATTTTTAGGAAGCTAGTTGTTTAGGTCCGTCTGTAAAGTGTAATATAAGCTAATAAAACATCTCGTTCATTTGTCGTTGTTGTGGGCTTGTTATTTTACATTCCTAACAGACTGCTTTCACTAGTCGTTGTGTTCCCATTAAATCCTAGAGCACGTTAGCATGCGTATTAGCCGATGCTCCTTCCAACAACACACACATGTGAAAGGCTTGGAATGAGAATGATGGTTTGTCATATTGTCACAATCTATAAATATTGTACATTCATGCCACCTATGGTTTAAACTATCTTAAGTGCATTTAATCAAGAACTGTACGTAAGTACAATTTTGAGGGACTTGTACTTTACTTAAGTATTTCCATGTTATTCTTGTTTGTACTTCTAGTGTACTACAATTCAGAGGTAAATATTGTCATTTTCCTCCATTACATTTATTGTATACCTCTAGATACTTTGCAGATTTGGATTAATGATAATCTACACTTAAATAAGACTGTAGTAACACCTGGTTTCAATTCACATGCTACCAAGCAGTACATTAAGTCATTCAAATGAGTTCCACCTTTACCAGCTTTGATACATACTTGAATGCATCAATCATTATAATCAAAACATACAATAAATATGATTGTGAAATGCGTCAATCTGCATAATGAGTACTGTCATTTTGGTACTTGAAGTATATTTAGATGCCAATACATTTGTACTTTTTACTTGAGTAACATTTTGAATGCAGGACTTTTACTTGTAACAGAGTATTCATAGACTTTGGTATTTCTAAAGGACAATATCTGAGTTCTTCTTTCACCTCTTCCTGATAAGAACCTACTCACCAAGAAAAGCATAAACCCTCCCTTATATACTGCCAGTTTTTACGAGTGTGTTTTGCACCGACACCTGTACTTATTTAGTCTTTTCTCTTGCTGATGTGTTTCTCAGAAGCCCCCTTAGCATCATGGACATGTGCAACCTGACTCTGCAGGAGGCAAATGCAAGTCCCAGGCTGGATTGAATGGCACTGAGGATACAAGGTAAGCCTTTGCCAGTAAATTTGAACTCATTATTGATCCGTTTCCTGAGCTACAAATGACCTCAGCGAGGGCAAAGTCTAGATCCAAGGGAGAGGGAGAACAAACATAGCTCAGAAGAATTCAGATCGGAGCAGGAATTCTACTACTTTCAGGGTGATAAAAGGACACTTAAGGGAAATGCAATGTCTATATGAAGTGATATTTCTTAACTGAAGTAACACAAAGAGATGGGAGATGTCAACATACTGTGTTTTGGCATGGGAATCATAAGACATCTTTCATAGCGAGATACTTAACTCTTAATTGCTAAGAGCAAGTTTGCCATCCATGTCAATCACCTGTAGTGATCCTGGTGCATAACACATTTGAATATTTAAAAGGTCTCTCTAGAAGCTTTTAGAAATGCCACACACATTCAGGGCCTTCAACTATAAGCCCTGGTTAATGTCAATAGAAGCAAGGTGTTCTACAGGTTTCTTTGCACACCTTAAGGTATATTTCAAATGTTAAGCATCTGCAAGATGTCTTTCCTCGAACACTGTAACCGGTTTTCTGTCCCTCCAGTTTTCCGGCTCTCAGTTTGTGGCATGTCGCTGTAGAAAAACACCAGCGCTCGTCTGAGTTCAGTGTCTCCGTGGGGAGTTTCAACATGTCACTCTAGTGTTACAAGTGACGAGGCTACAACTGCTGTTGTCAGGAATGCTAATATTGCGCTGATTGTTATGGACCTAAAAACAGGCTTTGATATGTTGCAGCCAAGGTTATGTAATGTGGTTTAATTGGTCACAAAATGTGCCAAAGGGATCTGCACAAAGAAAGCTTATGGCCATGGCCCAGCGCTCAACACCAGACAATGCTTTTTTTTGGATTCTAAAATTCTCTTAGTCTCTCCATATATTCATGGTACATGATCACATGATCATGTTCAGGTCTACGGTGTATTGCAGCACTAATCGTTCTGACCCTTGCACTCCCACAGTGTTCTCTTTGTCCTTTTCTTGGATGTTTTTCGGTTTAGGCTTCTGATAGAATTGAATGACTTGAGAATACAGTTGCTGTGTTGTCGAGTCAATATTTCACACTTAATGGTGAATTGAATTTCAAATTTGCATGCACCAGTTAAATCTTGTATAATATAACAGACTACTGTACACACTGAGAATGTTCTTCAACACAATCCCTTCATTTATTTCGTGTGAGACTAAGGCTGACATACAAGTCCAACAGCATTGTAGTGTTATTTGTACTGTAAAGTATGGGATTAGCTTTCTAACATTGTATTTCCAAATAAATGATTCTTTGTCTTATGTAATCAAATACTGACATATTAAGATATAGAAGGTATTGTTTGCATCATAGGTTTGATTTGTTACTATACATCGAGTATTTGACCCCAGTTTGCCTATTTATATGATTAAAAATGCCAAAACTTGGCATTACTCAAAGAATACATGTAGTATATTTCATTAAAGGGGAAATATCATTTGCCTTTTTAGGTTAATATTTCAGTTTAGGGTTTGTACTAGAACATGCTTACAGGTTTTATTGTTCAAAGAACGCACCATTTTTCTAATTTTGTCTGACTGAATATACCTGTGTTCCTCTTCTGACTGAAACACTTCACATAGTGCTGATCCCTTTAAGGGAGAACAACAGAAAGCCCAGCCTGCTCTGATTGGTTTGCGAGAATAATATTGCAGATCTTGTTTTCAAGCTCTTGTTGGAGATACTGGTTCCGGAGCGGTGTATTTAAATGAGCCTGCATGACATAGGAAGATAAAGATTTTAAACTATTTGCTATCCTATAAATAAGACAATTCTGTGTCGTCAAGACCTAGAAGAGCATATATCCCCAAAGATTTAAAACAAGCTAAGTCAATTGATTAGGTTTTATATTCCTTACAATAAACACCCAATAACAGATTGAGTTTATTGTTTATCCCTGGAAAGAACTTTAGCTCTAAGTAGGGCTGACATTATGGAAACAACGTTCTATGTCTACGCTGGTTGCTAGTTGTTTATCATTAGCTACTTTTTAGACAATTCTTAATGAGGAATAATGGCTCATACGTTAGTCAGTGTCGGCCTTTTTTTGTAATGTCCATCTTTTCACTGAATGATCGTCTTGAAAAGGGTACTAACAACAATTCCGCAAAAACATCATCTTCACCTGTTTCCATCGACGTAAAAAACGAATAAAACTTCAAATGAATTGCTACGTCGCAATTATCTACAGTAGTTCCTCTGTCCCAAACCGGGCCTTCTAGAATACCCTGGAACCGAGGGGAACTCTGAAAGAATACGCCCATTGGCTACAAATCAATATATGATTGGTTGATCAAACTGTCAGTCCAAACGTACGCTCTCATTCAGTGCAACGGCCAGGGCATTCGATCAAGGATGTAGAATACCTTGGTTGAAGGATATCCTACCCAGACACCCAGAACAAGATCTGATTGGTTGCTTTCTTTTCTAACACAAAACCACTGAAATGCGTAGTGCATGGTCCGAGAAGGACAAACAAATCAACGTAACACTGTAATATTACAGATCAACAACACAGATACCATTCTCATTTATTCATTTTATTTATATAATTAAATCGATTTTTTGTTTGTTTTATCCGAGTGTTCCAGGGTATT